GAGCTATCTGGCCAGGGATAATTTGGTGGACTTAAAATACCAAAGGTAAATTGATACAGCCCAGTTGGTGTGGTTCAGTGGTTGAGTGTTGATCTATGAACAAGGAGGTCTTGGTTTTACTCCAGGTCAGGGCTCATGCCCGGGTTGTGGGATCAATCTCCAATAGGGGGTAAGCAGCAGACAGACAATCAATTATTCTCTCTCATCATTGATGTTTCTATTTCTCTTTTTCTCTCCCTTCCTCTCTGAAATCAATAAAAAAATATTTTTTAAAAAGTAAACTGAAAGAAAATTAGGATTTTGTTCTTTGTGTTAAAATAAAGTAAAGGTGTAGAAAACAAAGGACACAGTAATAGGCCCTAAACTTGCCATGGGCCAAGGAGTTATGATAATGAGGGCAACAAGCCCCTTTTCCCTGGAATATGGACCATTTAGTAGACTCTACAATGGGATTTTCCACCAGGATAAGTCTTCACATCCCTGGGTGGAGAGGAACTATTTAGTCTCTGGTGGGACCCTGTTATTCTAATGCCCTTGGGACCCTTCCATGGAGACATGGACTGGTATATGCACCATCAGAAGAGGAAAGAACGGATCCTCTTTTGGCATATTCCCCCTCCTATCCCCTTACTGACCTCAGAGAGCACAACTTGTGGTTTACACAGCCTGGCTAGGCTGCAAGTGTAATTCTCAAAGAAGGAGAAGATCTCCCAATTCAAGTCCCTACCAAATATTTGTCTTTCTGGCCTTAGAATTCTGCTATTCTTTTGGCGTCCAGTTATGGGGAGTGTGTGTGTGTGTGTGTGTGGGAGGAGTATTCATTATCCAAACTGAACGCTGTGTTTTAATGCCCAATGCATCCACTAATATTTATTTATTTTTGTTAGTACAAGACCTACTAACCCACAAGCTTAGGGTCTGGGGGAGCATGATGAAAAACATTGTTATTAATACTTGGGCTGCTTCTTTTAATTTGTCTCTTTCCTTGTACATGTCTGCACTGTTACTGAGAACTGTGTCTTCAATGCAGTCAATTAGCAATAACTGAGCTACCTCCCTGCCACTGAAGTCCCTGCTGACCTGTAGGTCACCTTGCAGAAGGGAGGAGGCATGGGAGTGTAAGAGCCGGTCATGAGGGGTGGAGTGTGAGGAGAGACTGTTCCATGACGTGACTTCTGTTTGTCCCACAATCTAGTTCAGGCCAGAATGGAGGCTGCTTTCCACAAACTGCCCCTTTGATTATCTGATCATAATCAGCATTCATTCTGACATTAATCGGTATCCGTGCTTTGCCTCCTGCTCTGCACCAGTTCTTGGAACAGGTCTTTGTCCTCTCCTTGTCAAGCATGTAAAGTAATTTCCAATACCTGGTAGCATTCATGAATAGTATCTGTGACTGTCCCTTTACTCTATATCATTCTTTGTTCCCTGCCAACAAGTGTGGGCATCCATTTTGTCTTGCAGTCACCGGAGAAGCTTGCATGTGAGTCTTTTTTTTGCTAAACTGTTAGTTGCCAGATTGGAGTGGCTGCTTCTTTTGTCAGGCTCTCTCTGCCCCCCATTTATGACCGTAAATTTTCAGTTTGGGGGCTTTTCTCTGAGTCTGTGTCTATGAGCACCAGGCTGGTCCACATTCTGCTTTCTGAAATGTTCTCCTGACATCCTTCAATAAAATGCAGTCTGAGTCGTTGCTTCCTGTAGCATGAGTGATGAAACACAGTGATTCACATTCTGACTTAATCCTTGTTAATAGATAACTTGGCAATATAACTGAGGCTAGGGACTAGCCATTGTGGCCACAGGGCAAGAAGTACCCTCTACTCACCAAAGGGCCAGTAGACGGTCATCTCAGAGCCCAAGGGTAAGTGCATCAGGACCATTGGAGGACTGGTCTTTGCTCTGGTGTGCCCCCCACGGAGCCTGGCTCTGTTTCCTTCCTGTTTCCTCCCTAATCTCTCTGAGCATCGGGAGTCAGTGTGGACTTTACATGTGGAAAAGGAGCTGGGAAATAAGGGGCTACTTCCAAGGGCAGCTTTGCCTGTCTGTCGGAGGTACAGAGCTCTCAGCCACCCTGAGCTAACAGAGACCTGAAGCCATTGTATGTGGTCTCCCATCCATAGCAGGGTAGGCTCATGTGATGCATGCAGTTAGGGTGAAAGGAAAAGTTGCAATCTGAGAATTAAGATGTGTCCCCATACATCTGTTGGGGGCACAGCAAACAGTCCATTTTCTCTTTTCTCTTCCCTTTAGGTTGATACCATCATGCCTCCTTGGGTAGCCTTCCCCAGCCTCATACTACTTTGGGCAGGTAAGCGATAGGTGGGCTGGGGTTTGGAAGGCCTGGGCATGAGGCAGTGCAGGGTGTGTGTGGGTGTGGGGGAGGAAGATGGATGTGCTTGGACTCTGTTGGCAGGTAATGGGTCAACTAGTGAGCAAAGAACCAGGCTGAAATCTTACTCCAAAGTAATTCCTTAGATGGTATGAATCACAAAATCTAAGGGTAAGTATAACATTTTGTTGTATGCTGCCATTTCTGTTTAAGAAAGAGGAGGTGGGTAGGTAGTTGGGTATACATGGACTTTTCACATGTATTTAAGAAATAGTAGCAGTGTTTTCATTGTGTAGGAGAGAATGGAAGGAAGACATGGGGATAGGATGGAAAAGAGCCAGTCTTTCATTTTACATTTTGTGCATTTGTTTTTAACTATGTGCAAATATTTCTTTTAAAAATAAGATATATCCTGGCTAGTGTGGCTCATTTGGTTGGGCATCTCCCCATGCATCAGAACGTCTCTGGTTCAATTTACAGTCAGGGCATAAGCCCGGGGTTTCTGGCTGGATTCCAGGTAGGGGGCATGCAGGAGGCAGTCTATCACTGTCTTGCTGTCACATCAATGTTTCTCTCTCTCTCATCCTCTCTCTTATTCTCCCTCTCAAAATTAATAAAAAATCTGTAAAACAGTAAAAATAATATACATGGTGTCCCAAAAATATATATACACACTTTAACAGCCATTAGCTCAATTTGAAAATAAAATGTATTTAAATAAACACTGTCTTTATAATTATTAAAAGTGTGTGTATACATTTTTGGGACACCTTGTATATTATTTCCAACATTCTCTGAGTTGGAGAATAGATACAACCTAAATTTAAAAATAATAGTCACCAGAGGTGATTTGATTATGGGAAAAAGTTCATTTAAATTATACCTCCATACTAAAATTTTAAGTTAGCATGCTATATTTATAATCTACAAATGATGTTAGGCAAAATTAAATATTATAGGCATCAAGAGAAAAAATAGACTCTTACTTTACATAATGATTACATTTTATTTCCAGAGCACTTTGAAATTCACAGCCCCGTCCTAACTGTGATTAGTTGGGTTACAGCATAGGGAATATAGTCAATAATATTTTAATAACTATGAATGGTGTGAAATGGGTACTAGACTTATTGGGGTGATCACTTACAAGTTATATAAATTTCTAATCACTATGTTGTACACTTTCAACTGATATAATATTGTATATCAATTGTAATTTAAAAATAAAAATTAAATAAATAAGATTAGTTGGTACATCTCAGATTTCATTTAAGGGCCAACTTGACTGCATTTGATAGTATAGGGTTTTAAAAATATGTATATTTTTATTGATTTCAGTGAGAGGAAGGGATTGGGAGAGAGAGAAACATCAATGATGAGAGAGAATCATTGATAGGATGCCTCCTGCATGCCCCCTACTGGGGATTGAGCTTGCATTCTGGTGTGTGCCCTGACATGGAATTGACCCTTGATCTCCTGAATCATAGATTGATGCTCAACCACTGAGCCACACCTGGCGGGCGACAATATGGGGTTTTAATGCCACTAGCACTAGAGAAAGTTTTTGTTTTTAAGTGTCTTAATTTAGTACTTGATTGAATATTCTTCAGTTCTCTGGGTTCACCATGGGAAGTGGGCCTCGCTCAAGTGCCAGCTGTCATCTACTCATGAGAATGATTTCTACTTGGATTTTTTTGGACCATCCTCAAGAGCATGATCAGCCTTGGCTCTTCTGGAACCATTAGAAACCTATTTTCTAAAAATGGATTCCTGAAAGTTTATTAGACTTCTGCCTATAAGGCAACAATACTTTATTTATTATTTTTATATTTAAATTTTTGATTAAAATTGTTGATTTGTTATTCTACTTACTTATGCATTCATTGGTTGATACTTTTTTGAAAAAATATATTTTATTGATTTTTTACAGAGAGGAAGGGAGAGGGACAGAGAGTTAGAAACATCGATGAGAGAGAAACATTGATCAGCTGCCTCCTGCACACTCCCCACTGGGGATGTGCCTACAACCAAGGTACATGCCCTTGACCAGAATCAAACCTGGGACCCTTCAGTTCGCAGGCGGATGCTGTATCCACTGAGCCAAACCGGTCAGGGCCATTGGTTGATTCTTGTATGTGCACTAACTGGGGATCACACCCACAACCTTGTCATACTGATGTTGCTCTAACGACCCAAGCTACCTTGCCAGGGCCTAATAATACTTGATTTATTTATTTAAAATACATATGTTCATCAGCCCGGTTTTTGGGCTCAATCCCCAGTATTGACAGTCATTTGGTTCAAACATTTTGGAAATTAATTTGATAAAAATATTTCTGCTCTTTGTCCTGGTAATTTCTATTTTAGAAGTTTATCCTATTGGGAAACAATTCCAAATACAGAAATAAGTTTAGCTCTAGTCAGTTTGGCTCAGTGGGTAGAGTGTCAGCTCATGGATTGAAGGATCCAAGATTTGATTCTGGTCAAGGGCATGTATCTTGGTTGCAGGCTCAATCCCAGCCATAGTCAGGGCTCATGCATGAGCCAACCAGTCAATGTGTGTTTCTCACATTAATATTTCTCTCTCTCTGTCTCCCCACTCTCTTCCACTCTTCTAAAAATCAATGGAAAAATATCCTTGGGTGAGGATTAACAACAACAAAAAAAGAAATAAGTTTAAATTATGTGTTATTTACAACTATCAAAATGCTGATAAAGATGTAAAAAGTAAAACATAAAAAAATTTAGATTCAATATTAAAGTCACATGATTACAAATGAAATACACCATATAAAGAGAAGTGGACATAAATATAAAATTAAAATATTGAGGCCTCACACTCAGTTTTGTTTCTCTTGGCAGATGTTGTTGTTTCTCAGACACGCGTGACTGGAGTGGTGGGACAGTCTGTCACGCTACCGTGTACCTACTCAACAGCTGGTGGAATCGCACCCATGTGCTGGGGCCAAGGGCCTTGCTCTTTATTCAGATGCTCAAATACACTCGTATCGACTGATGGCTACCGTGTCACCTTTGAGAAGGACAAACGTTATAGGATGAATGGAATCATTTCCAGAGGGAATTTGTCTCTAACTATACAGAATGCAGCCCTGTCTGACACTGGCACCTATTGTTGCCGTATTGAGTTCAAAGGGTGGTTTAATGATTATAAAGAGAATATATTTTTGGAGATAAAGCCAGGTGAGTTTGTCTTCCTGTGATCACTTCATGTGCATGAACTGAGATGTTTACTGTTTGGTAATGATATTCTCTTCCTTTAAGAAAGAAAGAGAAGGTTCCTACAATCCTGTTTTTTAATAACTTTGGGGAAATAGAATTACTTACTTGTGTAGAATAAAGTGTTAAAAGAATCTAGAGTCAAGAGCGTAGACTAGAGGGCCTTCCCAGTCTGCAGACTATCTCTTACAGCAGTGCTTCAAAAATGCTGGTTAGTTCATGAAGAGGCATTCACGGCTCCATAGGGAGATGAGGTGAATATTTTCTCAAACTAAAGTTATTCACTGTAAACAACTGTACCTTTTCTCTGAGATGATGTCCCTGAAAATTTATAAAATGACCTTTCTTAACATTTCAAACCTAAAATGGAGATTTTCAAATGTATAGACAATATTGTCAAGTAGATACATTAACAACTTTGACATTTACCAACCCAATCTTGTTGCATGTGCATTGTGTAAACGTGTATAGTCCCACCCCCATACTTTGCCCTACCTTGGATTTCATGAAGCATAACTCATATTATATTGTGATATTGCTTGTTTAAAAATTAAAATGCATTCCAATAACTGTTTATTAGTTGCCTTTAAGATTTTCATAAAATCTAAAAACCTGGCTAATTCACATTTTTTCTCTCTTGAGATGGACATTATAATATCCCAAGTTTCTGAGTTCTTCTTTAATCTCCTTCCAGTAAAGTCTTATATTGACAGTAGAATATAATATTTGTGACTTTAATAAGCTGAATCTCTTTATCTTTTTTTATTATATTAAGAAAACTTTATTTGAAAACTCCCAATTTTTGGACTAGGTTATTTCCTTTGAAAAGGCAAGTAAGAGCCCTAGCTGGTTTGCAAAGCTCAGTGGATAGAACATCTGCATATGGACTGAAGGGTCCTGGGTTCTATTCTGGTTAAGGGCACATGCTCAGGTTGCAGGCTTGATCCCCAGGAGGAGGCATGCAGGAAGCAGCCAATCGATGATTCTTTCTCATCATTGATGTTTCTATTTCTCTCTCCTTCCCCCTTTCTCTCTGAAATCAATAAAAATATATATAAAATTTTGTTAAAAAGGCAAATAATATAAGGACAGTTCAGATGGAGAAAAAGGCTGACTCTGTGGAAACTATATCTGAGAAGCAATTCAGAGAAGCCAAAGAAGCTGATGAGATAGAGCTATATAGACAGATATGTGGAGGCAGCACATGGAGAAGAGATTATGATTATGAAATTTTGGGAGTTGTGAACTTATTTTGATCTGTCTGAATTTTTAAATATAACATGGAAAGGAACAAGTAGGAGACTTTTACAGTGCTTCCCAATTCTTTAATAGAAAGATATTTGAACTTCCAATAACCAAATCTCTGCTTAAGTTTTGTTTTATTATTCACAGGCTCAACTTATTCCTCACCTTTCTGTTAGAGGTTTTCCTAACCTATGTCTGTACTTATATCTTCCTAGCTTCTTTCTGGGAAAGACACTAGTATTTTCTACTGATGAGGACAAGTTCATTACTAGATCTGTTTTGGTTCCCTCTTATTTATTGTTCCTTATGCTCCTTTGATCAGATTTTTTTTTTTTTTGCATACTTGCTTTTTTCTCTATATTAGATTTTTTAATGAAGGGAAAGGATTAGAGTATATACTCCTTAAAAGCTTCTGACTACAGCTTAGATCAAGTTCATCCAACATAATAGCCAGGGCCAGATCATATTCAAAACAGGCCCATGGATTGTTTTATAGATAAACTTTATTGGAACAGCTATACCCAATCCTTGTACTATCTGGACTGTGGATGCTTTCACACTGACAGAGTTGAGCACTGAGACCATAGGGGCCCAAAAGCCTAACAAATTTACAGTCTGGCCCTTTACAGGAAGTTTGCTGACCTCTGCTTAAGACTAATGCCTTGCATGTAATAGATACCAATATTTGTTGAAAAAAAGTTTAGCCTGTTAAGGCACAGATGGGCTTAATTCCATATTAAACTAATTCTCTAAAAAGAAAGACATTCAAATTGATTGTCTACTCTAGGGGTTTCTTGGTAGAGTTGAGTTTGAAAGAAGCTTCTTGTAAAAAGAAAAGGTGTTGGTGAGCAGAATGTACACATTCTTGAATCAGGCCTTCATTGATCTGCATTTTTGCCAGGCACTGGGTTTGGGCTTAAGTCTAGTGTCAGCATGTCTGGGTAGCTCTGAGACCTTCCATAAGTGGTTTTGATTCCAACACCCTATCTGACCCTGGAAAGAGACAAAGATACTACCTGTCGTCTAGTCCACCTTCCAGCCAGTATATAAAGTGTCTGTGTGATCTTATCTATGCTAGTGGGTGTGAGTTAGTCCTCATTTAGGGTGCAGGTCTCTTCAGAGGGTATCCTCAAGACCGAAATGAATGCCATGTATTAATTAATATCTTTTTAACTTTCTGGGCCTAGAAACTATTTATTAATTTAGTCATTCACCACTGAGAGGACAAAGGCAGGTCCAGGCTCTAGACCTTTTCCCCATCTCCGTGATATTTACGAAGATACATAAATCTGATTTGCGTGGTTGGTCTTCTCAGAGTGCTTCAGTGGTAACCCTGGGTATCCTTTATCCCCTCTGAACCTCCTCGTCTATATTCTTGCAATACAGCTATCTCTGTTTTTTTTTGGCTTTTCTTCAAACCCTCCCCTGTAAGGATCTCATTAACCAAGGGCAGGAGGTCATAGTTCAGGGCAAATTAGTGCCCAGTTTGGCTTGGGGACAGTCTCTCATTGGTTATTTTGATGTAAAGGCCCAGCACAAAGCTCTTGTTCCCTGCTGCTTGATTAATCCTTGCTTTCATGTTGATCTCTAGCTCCAACCACTGCTCCAACACCACCTAAGGTCTTCAGCTCTGCTCCTACCACTCCAGGGACCACGAAGAACCTCAAGACAGGTAAGGCCATTTGTTTCTGAGGCCAGAGGCCTTCTAGTACGAGGGTGGAAACCACCCAGGGCATGTGTTAAAACGTACAATTCAGGGTAAGGGTTCTTAGGTGGCTCCAAGCGAGGGTTTCATAGCGTCTGTGAACCCCAGTCTCATAGCCAGATTTTGTAACTATAAGTATTTTCAGAATAGGAAGACTCATTGGGTTTTTTAAAAATCTTTATTGTTGAAAGTATTACAAATAATCCCTTTCCCCCTCATTATAAGAAGACTCATTGGGTTTTCTTAAAAATCGTTATTATTGAAAGTATTACAGATATTCCCTTTTCCCCTTCATTGACCCCTTCTTGTCTGCACCCGCTCCCTCACCCCCCCGCCCCCACCATGTCTTTAATACATTATTGTCTGTGTCCATGGGTTATGCTTATATGTATACAAGTTCTTTGGTTGATCTCTTCTTCGCATCCACACACACACCCCTGCCTTCCCTCTGAGATTTGCCAGTCTGTTCCATGCTTTAAGGCTCATTGGTTTTTCTGGTCAGATTTTCAAAAGCATTCACTATTAGCCCAAACCCCCAGATCACTGATCTTTGATATCTAATGAGGATGGTGTGGGTTTTGCCCAATGAGCACAGGCTTAAGAGGAAACTACAGGAAATGACAGAGAAAAATGGTCAAGTTAATGGCATTCTGTTCTCCCAAGGAGTTCTGAATAGGGATCCTTTACTTCACTCTGAAGTGAGACCCTCTACCTGAGAATAAGATTGTAGTGAAGTTAATATTCACTCTGTCTCCTATGTCAGGAACCATGCTAAGTACTTTGCAAATGTTATATCATTGAATTCTTATGACAACCCTATGCGTTGTAGGTGTGATTCAGTCTTATTTTATAGGGTGCTGTCAAGTAGATACAGCACCAGCTTTAACAATTGTCCTTTCAATCTTATTGCATATACATTGTGTAAGCATTGAAATAGACAAGTTCATTAGAAAAACTGGTTAGTTTTTCTTCTATTTATTGTTCCTTTAAAATGATTTTTTTTTTGCGTGTTCGCTTCCCCCTCCATACTATATTTAAAATTGGAGGAAGGAGCTTGGATTGTATCTTCCTAAAAGCCTCTGATTATACCTTTGACCAGGGTCAGCAAACAATAGTCCAGGGCCAGATTAGATTCAAATTAGGCCTACCAACTGCTTTATAAATAAAGTTTTATTGAAACAGTCATATCTAATTATATTATCTTTTCTATAGAAAACTTCACACTGATATAGTTGAGCAACAGACTGTAAGATCATCAGGCCACCAGAGCTTAATTTAAACATTTATTCTCTGACCATTTACAAAACTTCGCTGACCTCTGCTTTAGATTAATGCATATACATATTTTAAAAGAAAGCTTATTGTAAAAGAAAAATAAGGTGCTTGGTGAGAAAAAGGGCCACATTCTTGAATCAGGCCTTCATTGATCTGCTTCTGAGCCATGCATTGTGTTTAGGCTTAATTCTAGCTTCAGCTCTCTCTCTGGGTAGTTGGAGACCTTCTGTAAGTGAGTTGCAAATCTACCCCATCTCTGACTCTGCAAAGTGTCAAAGTTATTACCTGTGGTCTAGTTCACCTTCATCCAAATGTATGTTGTACAAATCCTTCCTGTGATCCTGCATCTGCTAGTGTGGGTGAGTTAATCCTCCCCCCACCACTTGAGAGGGTACCCTCAGAGTGACTGAATTTAATGCTACTTATTTGGTACACATTTTGGGTCTGGGAGCTGCTGTTTAAGTACGTCTTAGTCATTCACCACTCAGAAGACTAAGACAGATCCAGGCTCTAGATATTTTCTGTACCTCGCAGATATTTATGAAGATACATATATCTGATATGAATGGATGATCTTTTCACAGTACTTCAGTTTTAATTCTGGATAGCCCTTTTCAGCTCTGAATGTCCTGGAGTGTATACATTTCAATGCATGTTTTCCTTTGGCCAGACAGTTTTAAGATTTTAATTGAGAAAGGATAAGAACTCTGAATTCAGGAGAGATTGGTGCCCAATTATGCCTGGGGACAGACAGACTCTCATTAGTTGAATTGATATAAAGATCCAGCACAAAGCTCTTGTTCCTTGCTGCTTGATTAATCCTTGCTTTCATGTTGATTTCTAGCTCCACCTAAGGTCACCAGTGTTCCAACACCACCTAAGGTCTCTACCTATGCTCCTATAATTCCAGAACCAACATGGAACCTTAAGACAGGTAAACTGATGTGTTTCTGAGGCAAGAAGCCTTCTAATGAGTGGATGAAGAACGCCAGAATATGTGTTAAGGCAGAGTTGCCATCTATGCTAAAGGTTTTTCCCTGGGCCTCATTTGATCTATGAAACTTTGTCCAATATTACACTCATCTAAGAGGTATCTTCAGAGTGAGGGGATCTTTTTTTAAAAAAAATTGGATCCTCAAGGGGTTTCATCATTAGCCAAAGAACCCAGACCTGCGATATTGGACAACTAATTATGTGGATATGTTCCAGATGGCATTGGTTTATGAGAAAAATCTAGGTTATTCCATAGAAGAAGGGAAATCTAAGTGGAATTCCTTTAGTCCTCTCTGAATTTGGACCCTTCATACAAGGATAAGAGCCCACCACTAGTTTTACCTATAATATTTTATTGAAAGAACCATTTCTAATCATTGTACCATCAGGTAGGTCTATGGCTGCTTTCACAATGACAGAGTTGAACAACAGCCACTCAGACTATAGCCGCCAAACCCTAACACTTGCATCTGGCTGTTTACTGAAGATTTGCTGACCTGTGCTTTAGACTAATGCCTTGCATATAATAGATACTGACAAATATTTGATTTATGTTTCTTGCATTTCATGGCAAAAATTGGCTTGATTCCAAATTAAACTGGATCTCTCCAAAGAAAAGCTTTTAAACCAATGGCCTCCTGTTCAAAGGTTCTCTTTTTTCTAGTTAGTAGAGCTAACATTCAAGGAAGCTTCTCATGGGATACAAAGGTGCCTGGTGAGAAAAAAGTACACATTGTAGATCAGGGATTCATTGATGACCTTTTGTGCTAGGCACTGTGTTTGTGCTTAATTTTAGTGCGCGCTCTCTCTCTCTCTCTCTCTCTCTCTCTCTCTCTCTCTCTTGTGGGTAGCTCTGAGACTATTGTAAGTACTTTGAAATTGTAGATCTGCTCTATCATGGAAAGAGCCCACGTTATTACTTTTTTCATCTCTTAGTTTGGAAGGAATCATTAATGGTCTAATTCACCTTTCAACCAAATGTATAATGTATAAATGATCTGTGTGATCTAGCATATACTTGTGGTGTGAGTTAATTTAGGGTGCAGGACTCCTGGGAGGGTGTCCTCAGGACTGACTAAAATGAATGCTATTTATTGGGTAAACATTCTGGACTTGGAACTGCTGTTGAAATCTTAGTCATTCACTACAGAGAGGACAAGAACATGTCCTGGCCCTAGACGTTTTCCCCACTTCACTAATGTGTATAAAGATATATAGCCCTAGTCCGTTTGGCTCGGTGGATAGATCATTGGCCCTCGGATAGTAGGGTCCCAGGTTTGATTCCAGTCAAGGGCACATACCTGGGTTTCAGGTTTGATCTTCAACCCTATCAGGGCAAGTGTGGAAGGCAATTGATCAATGTCTCTCTCTCTCTCTCTTTCTGTCTCTCGCGCTCCTACTCTCTGTAAAAATCTATGGAAAAATGTCCTCGGGTGAGGGTTAAATATATATATTTAATATGCATGGCTGGTGTTTTCAAAATGCTTCAGTGAATAAGCCAGTAACCTTTATCAACCCTGGAATATATACTTTTCAATGCAGCTGTTTCCTTTTTGCAGGCTGGTCCTCAATCCCACTCCTGTCAGATTCTAGTAGATTAAGGACAAGAGATCTGAGTTTAGGGGAGAATAGTGCCTAATTCTGCCTAATTTGGATATGTTGATATGCAGGCCCAGCAACAAAGCTCTCATTCTCTGTTTCTTGACTAATCCCTGCTTTCATGTTAATTTCTAGCTATACCTAACGTCACCATGATCCCAACATCACCTACCAGTATGGTTTCCACCTCAGCTACTGCAACGCCAGCACCCACGCAGAAATTCAAGACAGGTAAATTGATGTGTTTCTGAAGTCATTAACCAATTAGAGAACAAAGACAGGTCCAGGTTCTAGACATTTTTTCTCACCTCACTGATGCTTATGAAGATACATAAATCTGATATGCATGGTTGGTCCTCTCAAAGTGCTTCAGTGTTAATCCCAGGTATCCATTTTCACTTTTGAACTTCCTGGAATATATACTTTTCCTTGGGCCTAGAGACACACTCAAGAGGCCAAAGAGCCCCATGTGGCTCGCGAGCCGCAGTTTGCTGACCACTGGTCTAGGGAATTCCAGGAAGTAGGGTTAGGCTAATGAGAATCTGTCCTCATGTTCTAGACATTTTCCCCACCTCACACATGTTCATGAAGATACATACATCTGATATGCATGGCTGGTCTTCACAAAATGCTTCAGTGTAAATTATAGGTTTCCTTTTCACCTGTGAAACCCCTGGGAAATATACTTTCCCATACAGCTGTTTTCTTTTTGCCAGTGTGACTTCAAGCCCTCCCCTGTCAGAGTCTATTTGAACAAGGACAGGAACTCTGAGCTCAGGGGATATTAGTGCCCAGGTCTGCAGGGGAACCTAGTCTCTCACTGGTTTTGTTGGTGTTCATGCTCAGCACAAAGCTTTTGCTTTTTTTGCTGCTGGATTTATTCTCATTGTCATGTGGATTTCTAACTCCGCCTGAGCTCACCAGGGTCCCAAGATCACCTGGGGTCTCCACCTCTGCTACAGCACCAGTTCGCCTGCAGAACATCCTGAGAAAGAAAGTGATGTATTTTTGAGTCCAGAGGCCTTCCAATAGAGGAGGTACACCACCCAGGGTATTATCATAAGGTGGAAGTATAATCTAGGATTAATGTTCTTCCCTGGGTTACAAATGTGAGCTTCACAGTAGCTGACAATCCTCATTCCAGATTACTTGTTTCCTTTGTATCTATAAATATTTTTCAAGTAAATAGACCCATAGTTTTTTAAAATCAGATTCTCCAGGGGATTATTAGCCCCCAAATCCCCAGACCATTTATCTTTTTTAAATTTTTATCTTCACCCAAGGATATTTTTCCATTGATTTTTAGAGAGAGTGGAAGAGAGGGAAAGAGAGAGAAACATCAATGTAAGAGAAACACATAGATTATTTGCCTCCTGCACCCGTCCTGACCAGGGCCCGGGCTGGGGAGGAGCCTGCAACCAAGATACAAGCCCTTGACTGGAATCGAACCCTGGAACGGTTAGTCCGCAGGCTGATACTCTTTCCACTCAGCCAAACCAGTTAGGGCCTCAGACCATTTCATTTATTTTTAACATCTAATGAGAATGGTGTGGATTTGGTTCAGTTGAGCACAAGTTTATCAGAAAAATATAAATGAGTGTCTGCTTAATGAGATCTGCCCTCACTGAGAGCTGGAAGTGGAGATCCTTTTTTTTTTTTTTTAAAATATATTTTATTGATTTTTTTACAGAGAGGAAGGGAGAGGGATAGAGAGTTAGAAACATCGATGAGAGAGAAACATTGATCAGCTGCCTCCTGCACACCCCCCACTGGGGTTGTGCCTGCAACCAAGGTACATGCCCTTGACTGGAATCGAACCTGGGACCTTTCAGTCTGCAGGCCGACGTTCTATCCACTGAGCCAAAACAGTCAGGCTAGAAGTAGAGATCCTTTATCCACTCTGATGTTGGAGCCTCATGTGGCAGGTAAGGCTTCATCAAGATGACCCTGTGTGGCCCTAACCAGTTTGGCTCAGTGGATAGAGTGTCGGCCTGCGGACTCAAGGGTCCCAGGTTCGATTCCGGTCAAGGGCATGTACCTTGGTTGCGGGCGCATCCCCAGTGGGGAGTGTGCAGGAGGCAGCTGATCGATGTTTCTGGCTCTCTATCCCTCTCCCTTCCTCTGTAAAAAAATCAATAAAATATATTTAAAAAAAAAAGATGACCCTGTGTGACAGAATTCATGCAAAGTTCTCTTTACTCCATTTTACAAATTTTAATTTATTTATTATTTTAAGTTACAGTTGACATACAATATTATATTAGTTTTAGGTGTACAACCCCATGATTAGACATTTATATAAGTAACAAAGTGATCACCCTGATGAATTGAGAATCCATGTGACACCATATATAGTTATTACAATATTACTGACTATATTCCCTGTGCTGTAGTTTACATCCCCATGACTATTCTTGAAACTACCAATTTGTACTTCTAAATCCCTCGATCTTTTCACCCATGAACCTAACCCATTTCCCATCTGCTAAGTTCTTTACAAGTATGATATTGCTTGATTCTTATGCCAGCCCTACCCATTGTAGGTGTGATTCAATTCCGTTTTATATTTGTGTGAACCTAGGCACAGAGTCTAATTTCATTGTTGAAAGGCATATGGGTAGAAAGTGGTTGAGTCAGGATTCAGTCTCCATTAGTTTGAATTTGGGACTGTGGGTATAACTACCGGATGGTGTTTCTGCCATGTGGACTGAAGTTATATTAGGATGAATTTGTCCTTATCTGACATCTTCACAGAAAAAGCCCTTTATATAATTATCCTGTCTTTTTATGTCACTCAGTGACAGTTTTGCTTCTAGCATTCTTTACTTTAGTATGTAGCATAAAATTTAAAAAAAATGCTGTTTATACTTATGACAAAGTAAATATCTGATTTAAGAATTTCAGGGATTTAGTATTTATAGCTTCTCTTTTTAATTCAGGCTACGTGCTTCAAATTTCTGAGTTTAGATGCAATACAAATGGAGAATAATTTGATATATGGGTGGGGAAATAGGTTGGCCTTCTGAGGACAAGTTCAGGTTCAAACCTTCTATTTTTAAGATTAAAAAGATAACACTTAGTGAAGATTCTCAAAGCCTTTCCAACTCTTTGACTCATTGAGGTGATCTGGATTCTGAAGAGGAACAGAAATGTCTCAACCTCTTAGCCAGAGAAATCTGATGGAACATTGATTTTCCTTAACTCCCATTGAGCCTTGTGTGTATTTATCTGGTAACCAGGAGGGATCTGAAGCATTTGGGCGATGAGCTGAGTTTGGAGGAGAGGGCTTTAGGTTAGAACTCAGATTTTAGAGCCATAAAAGTATATCAGGAAAATAGCTTTGTTCCAGGCAGCTGAACATACTAGAGAATCTGTTGACTTTCTTAATATTGGTTTAGCTTCTTTATACTTAGTTTGACATAGTGTGTGCCTGTAAAAGTGTGAGGATTAGTGGACTTGGTTTAGTGAACATACATAAGTTTTTTTTACTTCATTTAAAGCAGAGATTCAGAAGAAAAAACCTGTGTGACCTCCTGGGGAATATTAATTGTATTATTAATTGAATTGAGCCTTATCTTTATCCTGATAGTTTCCTAAGGAGTTTGAGTCTAGAGTTGAGCTTCACAGTACAGGAAGGAGGTGAGTACTGGAGCTAATTCAATGCAGAGACATTTACTTTTACATCCACTACCTGTCTGTCCTCAGTGCCTCCAGCACTTGTTCATCTCCTAAAACATGCATGAAAGCCGGGGTCACGGTCTACCAGGAACCTGGCCGAGGGTTGTGAATCATTACCAAGTTGAGAGATTGGGCAATGCAGTCACCTTGAAGAAACTTCAAGGAGTTAAATATTGTGAGGGTGTATTCTGTGCTGGTACATATGTGTGTCTCTCTGGAAAGATGTGTGCATGTATAATCATCAACTTGAATAATGTCAGAAAATCCAGATTGGGGTTTTTGTGAAGAACTCTCTTGTACTGTCCTGTTCTTTGTTCCTAAAGAGAACCACATCCTGTTATAGGGTTCAGTATTGGAGGACAACATGAAATGGGTTCAGAACATAAGGAAGGGTGATGTTGAAATGTGAAGATGGTGGTGGGAAAGAGGAATCAGGAAGACTGATGAAAGGCAATAAGGAAAGCCCAGGTTTGTGAATTTTTGCCCAGCCAGCACCACTAATTTGCTCTAAGTTCTGTGGTGCTCCCTGGAGAGGGAAATAAGGAGGCAAGTGATGCATAGCGGTGTGCTTGAGAATTCTTAGTGACGCTTTTTGGTGAGAAATGGAAGATGAGTCAGATAACACAGGAAATCAGTCATTCAGAAGGAGTGAGCAGAATGCAACTGCAGAAGGAGCCGGGGTCACGGTCTACCAGGAACCTGGCCGAGGGTTGTGAATCATTACCAAGTTGAGAGATTGGGCAATGCAGTCACCTTGAAGAAACTTCAAGGCATTAAATATTGTGAGGGTGTATTCTGTGCTGGTACATATGTGCATCTCTCTGGAAAGATGTGTGGATGGATAATCGTGAAATTGAATAATGTCAGAAAATCCAGATTGGGGTTTTTGTGAAGATGGGATGACAGATTAGTGTAAATTCCTAGGCCCTGTTTTATGAACATGAAATGTCATTTGTATGGATACAAGCTTAATTGGGTGTCTTACATAAGATGCACTGTCATAGGCATTATACATTTAGGGAGATCCTAAGAGTATGAAAAGTGTGAAATAATTCTGTCTATAGATAACTATCCAGATCATTATCTATATCAGATTTATTCCTGATAATAAGGATCTAGTTGGCAGTGCAATGCCTCAATGTTATCTTTGAATAAATTTCTAAGAAACAGTTGAAGGTAGTTCCCAATTTTAGGTTTGTTGCCTATTTTTGTTGGGGCTGGAGATTTTTCTACAAATAGAACAGAGCTCTTTCATTCTTTTTATTTCAGAAACCACTTCATCTTCTCCACTGCAGACAACAGAAACCCAGCCTATCAGACCACAGGAAACAAGTACGACCACCTCATCATTGAACTCTTCTTGCCCAACAGGTAACTGCATTTTCTTTCCTGAAGACCTAGAGCATTCAAAATTTGAAAATCATTGACATGTAGTTAAGAGCACTTATTGTGACATGAGTGCTCACACTGGCCCCTCTAATCAGCTATGTGACTAAAACAAATGTCTTACCCTCTCTGAATCTGTTTTCTTCATTTCTAAATGGATGGAACATCACTGATCATGCGGAATCCTTGTGAGGATTAAATGAGATGAAGAGCTTGGGACATAGGTATAGGGGGTAAGTGATAGCAACTATGACTATTACTTAGATGTCCAGAGTATCTGACTAACATAGGCAGCTTGTATGATTTGGGAACCCCCACATGCATATACCGATTTTTCTAAATCAAATGAATCAGTTTTGACTCCATATTTATTACTGGGCTTGCCCCCTTTGGCCAGAGCTGTAAAACAATTACCTCCAGACCGAAATGGTCACCTGTGTTTACATTTTGCCTAAGCTCCAGAGTCTAAATACACCCAGCAGGCTGTTCTGCTGCCTTGTCAGGCTTGCAGGTACTAATAGACACTTAGTGATGGGTTGGGGACAACAATGCTGGCACCAAAGAGAGAGTCTCCCCTACTCTCTGGCAGATTCCATGTAGTCTCTACTCTTGAAAGGGTAGATTGACCTGTCTTTCCCACGGTGGAGAAAGGTGATACTGAAACCTATCATCTTTCCCAGCTGACTCTGTGCCCCATAGTGGGAAGTGTGGGGAATGCCACATGCTGACTGTGTGTCCTTGTGCTGTATCCAAACAAGGTCAAACCTTGCAAGACTCCTCCTGTGTATGACCCCCTGTGGCTTTAGATAATAGTGGCATTCAGTTTTGAAAGTGGAATTGCTGACAGCACGGAGAAATTGGGGCCAGTGCCAGCAGCAGGTGTGAACAGGGCCGGCGCCATCAGTGGGTGTGAGTGGCGACTGCTGGCTGCCCCGATCGCCCCTTAGGAGCAGGGGGAGGTGGAGAAGCCTTCAGGGGCGATCAGGGCTGGCAGCCACTGCTTGCACCTGCTGATGGCACCGAATGATTGGGACCGGCTTTGGGCACGGGCAGTGGGTGTGAGCAGTGGCTCCGGCGCTGGCAGCGGGTGCAAGCGGGGCTGGCGCCTGCAGCAGGTGCAAGCACCAGGCGGGATCGTGGCGTGCAGGAGCAAAGAATTTTTTAGTAACCACCAGAGGCTCACCCCGATGACAGTGACTGGTGCCCTGACTTGGTCTAGCGCCCCCGCTCACCTGCTCCACCATCCCGCCGTGGCCACTGCCCGCCATGTCCCTTGCACTCCCCCTGGTGGTCAGCGCACATCATAGCGACTGGTTGTTTGATTGTTCTGGTTGTTCCGCTGTTTGGTCTATTTGCATATTAGCCTTTTATTATATAGGATAGTCAAGATATGGAAGCAATCTAAATGTCCATCAATAGATGAATGGATAAAGAAGAGGCAGTGCATATTACTTGGCCATATAAAAATAAAATCTTGCCCTGGCCAGTGTGAATCAGTGATTAGAGTATTGACCCATGCACCTAAGGGTCTTGGGTTTGATTCTCGGTCAAGAGCATGTGCAGGAGGCAACCAATCGATGTGTCTTTCTCACATAGATGTTTCTCTCTCTCTCTCTTTCTGTCTCTCTCTCTCTTCCTTCTTTCCCTTCCTCCTTTCCACTCTCTCTAGAAATCAATGGAAAAAATATACTCAGGTGAGGATTAACAACAACAAAAATCTTGCCATCTGCTAAGTAAAATAAATCAGACAGAGAAAGACAAATACCATATGATTTCATTTATATGTGGAATCTAAAAAAGGAAATACATGAATAAACAAAACAGAAACAAACTCATAGATACAAAAAACATTTTGATGGTTGACAGATGGGACGGGGTTTGGGGAGATGGGTGTAAAAGGGGTGGACAGGATTAAAAGTACAAATTGAGGCCTGGCCTGTGTGGCTCAGTTGGTTGGAGCATTGTCTCGTGCACTGAAAGGTGGTGGGTATGATTTCCAGTCAGGGCACATACTCAGGTTGTGGGTTTGATCCCTGGTCAGGGCATGTGCAGGAGGCAACCAATCAATGTTTCTTTCTCATATCGATGTTTCTCTCTATCTGTTTCTCTCCCTTTCTCTCTCTCTCTAAAACCAGTAAAAGAATGTCCTTGGGTGAGGATTAAAAAGAGAAGTACAAATTGGTAGTTACAAAACATCATGGGGATATAAAGTATAGCATAAGAAATATAGTCAATAATATCATAATAACTATGTATGGTATCAGATGGGTACTATATTTTTTGAGTGATCACTTCGTAAGTTATTTAGATGTCTGGTCGTTACGTTTTACACATGAAACTAATATAACATTGTATGTCAACCCTATTGAAAAATAGGAAAATTATTTTAGAAAGTAAACTAAACAAGAAACTAATAAAAATGGTCACTTATAAGTCAGTTTGTATGGGGATTGGTAGAGATTGGAGACAAAAAGAGAGACTTTTTATGTCATTTTCAGTTTAGACTGTCTAAAAGTACTAGTTATTTAAAATATAGGAGTAAGTTAAAATTAAGATATTTTTATCATTTAAAAATTTTGCATGCATACATAAATATAATGTTTTTACGAAAAGCCCTTAAAGAATAGTACCCTTTAATATTAGGATTTTAGGTATATGATATATTGGTCTTGTGGTTGCTGTACCACGTATTTTTCTGAAGTACTTCTGGATCAAAGCCTAGGCACCTTGACATATAAGGTAGGAATTACATGCCACCTGTCTTAGATATCTTAGTACCTTTTGCTTACATTTTTAATGTAAGATCAATGTAATGTCCATTCTGAATAGAGAGGTTTGATCTTTAGATGTGCATATGGCCTCTGGGCATTCATTGACAGTTCTTCACTGGCATGAAAATATTGATAATCTATCTATAAGTGGCATTTTTAACCTGTACCCCTGATTTATAGGTAAAACTTTATATATAATGCATTTCTTTTCCATAAAGAAGAAAAAAGGGGTCCATTTTCACAGGGTCCATGACAAAATGATTAAGAAACACACCTTAAAGATAAATTATTAAACACTAGTAACTTGGTATAATTCTTGCAATGCCTGCTGCATTTTTCCAATACCTAAGTGTTTGTAGCAAATTTTCAATATTTTTTATAGTTCTAATTAATGTTTTTTTTTGTTGTTGAGCAGATGGGAATAGCACTGTGCCACAACCTTCAGATGGCAGTTGGCAATGCAATAAAACTGTAAGCAAATTCCTTCCTATTTTATTGGCCATATTCACTTTATGTCCCCCCTGGAAGCAAGTTACATTTAGAGATTACTTCTGTAAGGCTGGGCTACATATTGGTTCTTTCTAGTTAAGAGACAAAGAAGAAAATAATTTGCTTCTTAAATAGGGGTGCTTTGGTTAATTGGTAAAGTTCATATGGATACAGGTAGACCAGTTTGTTAGAGATGCCGGATAAATGATGTTTTACTCACACTCATACACACAACACTCACACACTACAGACTTTCTCCTGGCCAAAAAATTGGACAAAAAAAGAATGAACTAGTTTAAGGAGAGTGAGTTAACATAACATTCCCTGGAAGACTCCAGTTAACATTAGGGGAATTGCCGAAACCGGTTTGGCTCAGTGGATAGAGTGTCGGCCTGCCGACTGAAGGGTCCCAGGTTCGATTCCGGTCAGGGGCGTGTATCTTGGTTGCGGGCACATCCCCTGTGGGGAGTGTGCAGGAGGCAGCTGATCGATGTTTCTCTCTCATCGATGTTTCTAACTCTCTATCTCTCTCCCTTCCTCTCTGTAAAAAATCAATAAAAATATATTTAAAAAAAAAATTAGGGGAATAACATGCTTTGAATCACTGTGCTGGCATGGAGGCTGTTCCAAACAAAAATATTATGTAAATGAAAGTGTGCTGCTTAAACATAGGTCCCCTAATATCCTTTTCCAACCCAAATGCCTTCTATATAGAAATTTTGGGGCTGCTGTAGAGTTTTTCTACACCTTAACCTCCCCATAGGATGACTTGTTAAGGTGTTAACTGGTCACAAGTGGTGAGAAATGACAACCTGCAATAGCAAGAGAAATTCAAGCTGAGACAAAGTGGGCTGATCTTGTGTAGGGTTAGATTACTGTTACTGTTAACCTTAGTTCCAAAGCGAACACTGCATAGGAGTGATATGAAATATTTTACCAATTTGTATGGCCTGATTGATCCAATGAATGTGGGCTGAATGCATATACCTCCTAAATATCAGAACTGCCACTATGGAAATGGTTATTATATCGCTATATAGCCAGATTTATGCGGATTTTTTAAAGCACATTTCAGCCTAGCTGGTTTGGCTCAGTGGATATAGCCTCACCGGCCTACAGACCAAAGGGTCCCTGGTTTAATTCTGGTCAAGGGCATGTACTCAATTGTAGGCTCCTCCCCAGCCTGGGCCCTGGTCGGGGCTTGTGCAGGAGGCAAGCAATCGATGTGCTTCTCTCACATAGATATTTCTCTCTGTTTTTGCCTCTCTTCCACTCTTTCTAAAAATCAATGGAAAAATATCCTCGGGTGAGGATTAAAAACAATAATAATGAAAATCAAAAAATAAAAAAGCACATTCTGAATGGCGAGGTTGTTCTTGACCTCAGCTGTAGGATGGTTAGGTTTAGCAAAGAGTAGAAGCAATTTGGATGCAAGTTCATCATAGGTCACAGCGGAATCATCGGCTTTTTGTGCCTTGATTCTGAGGATGTCAGCATGTCTCCCTGGAATCTTGAAAACATGCAGCAGGTATTTTGACCCAGTAGGTCAACTCCCTGGACTCTATGGTAAGGAAAGAATTGAACAAAAACATGAAGATGCATGAGAAAATATGTTCATTTATAATCATGAAAATGTTATGAACAACCTCAGTGGTCAATAGTAAGGGATTAATTAATGAATGAATTAATTAAACACACCCACATATTGCCATTAAGAATGTCATTATTTCAGTGCATTTACTGACATGAGAAGACATTATTATTGATTATTATGTGAAACTCTAACTTTAAATAGTATATATACTACAGTATATGTTGAATATAGTCATTATTTATGTTAAGAAAAGAACACTACCCCAGGACAGATTATCAGATATGGCCTGGGGACCTCAACACCTGGGGCCCTTCCTGTCAGCCCACAAAAGGGGGCGGAACCATATCTGCAAGACAAAGACCCCAGAAGGTTATTAAAAGTGAAGCCCTCTGTGTGTTTCTTCACTCTGATTTGGAAATTATTCCCGGAGTCCACTAGTATTAATAAACGAGGTCCCTCCCTTTCTCTAAAAAAAAAAGAAAGAAAGAAAAATAAAAAGAAAAAGAAAAAAACACTAGACAGAAAATACTGAAAGAGTATGTAATAAAAAACGATAACAATGTTTGCTTTGGAGGTGTTAGGATTATGGTTGATTTTAGTTGTTCTTTCCTTATGCTTAGCTGCACATTCTAAAATAAACATGTAGTTTCTATGTAATGTAATATTTATGAAAAGCAAAGCCTCCTTTCGCAACCCCATG